ATCCTCTTGTTCCTCCCACGCGGTTCTGGTGAGCTAAGAAAATGCTTATCTCCCTGAGCTTGGCCTTCATAATTCCATTCCATCACACATAAGAACCTATAGGCCAATAGCGTTATCAGTCACTTATGTAATTATTTAATTTTCCTACCCTTCTGGACATTGCTGGAAAAATGTAGTCATATGCTGAAGAAGGAATGGCCAGCAGTCAGGTCTGTTTTCAAGTATAATAATTAGTGGGTGAGGAGAGTTTCTGGGAGAAAACAAAAATGAGACAAATGCATTAAAAATAATAAATTTGTAAATTTGATTAACGTAAAAATAAATACAGTCATAAATACAGTATTTTAACAAGATACAGAATTGCCTGAGAGATATCCTTTGATAATGGGAGGGGGATGTTCATGGATGCAGAATGAAAACTATATTTACTGGTAATATATTAACAAACTCTTTAATAACCTTCATGAATGCTGATAATCATTTCAATGCAGATATGTTTATTATTATGGTAGCAGTACTTTTCCTACAATGAATTGTCTCAGTTGCATAAATTTTAAGTAATAAATAAAATTACTTCTTTAATGTAAATATATGGATAAATACACATATTATGCACTCCTTACTTCTTTCTCTTTTGAGAAGCTCAATGGGCATTATCAAGAAAAATGATAATGCAAGAAAAAAATCTGGATATTTCATATTTTCTGGTATAAATTCTTCAGGACTTTGTTCCACCCCACCCCACCCCAATGAAGAAGTATGAAATTGCCTCTGTTAAAATTCATTCTGATTTTCTGGCCAATTTCTGACCTATTAATATTTTGAATTTTATTTCTGTTGCCTATCAGCTGTCACATCCAATTTTATCTGATTTGCAATTTTACTTTTCACCTTGCCATTCAAGTTATTTAATGTTAAACACTGGATCCAGAGTCTAACTCTATGTCACTCCAAAAAATACCCCTCTCCAATCTGATGCATGTGATTAATTTTGAGGTTTTTAGTAGCTGTGGGTCCACGTAATAGACATCCTCTATAACTAAATTGTTAATTAAATGGTATAGGCTACTTTGTAAAATACTATGCTGAAATTAGGCTTTATTATGTTGGAAGGGAGGGAAAGAGACAAGACTTGTTCTCAACAAATCCATGCTGAATTTCAATAATCACTGTATTGCCTTCAAAGTGTTTATAGATCAGTTGTTTTATTATCTTCTCTAGAATCTTTCTGGTATCAAATGTCAGTTCCCCAAATCCTTCCACCCCTTTTTAAAACAGTGTCATTTACTCTCCTTAAATTGTCTGGCACTTCAATTCTCTGGGCCTTCTCACTGTTCTAATGGATACAGGTTTGATAAGATCATTACGTTATTTCTATATTGTAGGATGTCTTTCCTCTGGCTTTGGAGATTTAAATACTTTCACTATAAATATGTCTGTATCAACCTCAAGCTGCATTTCTGCCCCTTCATCCCATCCTCCGTAACTGCCTACTAGAACACATACTGTCTTATTGGAGAATACTGAGCCAAAATAGGAGGTGAATAGTTCCACCCGTTTTGTTATTGCTAACTAATGATATTTTGCCATCTTCATTTAGCTACTGTACAATGAATAGTTTAATGGATCTTGATTTAATGGACTTCAGACCAGTTTTTTGGCTGGACATCCTCCTGACGTAATGAACAAAATCTGGTAAATTGAAGTTTGAAACTGTTAAATTGATAGGCAGTCTGGCAGGCTGACTGGTGGCAGCAGCAGGAATGTCTTGGATAATCAAGGGCATGGTTGAGCATGCCTAGTACTTACTTTATAACGGTTTATAAATACAGTATGTGAAAAAGTACCTTTCAGATTTAATGGTTATTTGGGTTTAACAGATATTCCTTCCTCCAAAGTGGTGCATTAGGGCAAGAGTTTACTGTACTACTTCTTTTCTCTTCAGATATATTTAGGAACCCTTTTTATTCTTAGCATCTACCTCCAATCAGTTAATTCTAAGCTGTAGGGTTTCTGATACCATCTCTATTATTCTAAACTATCTGTATGTATTCTTCCTTAGTAACCTATCCTCCTTTCCCCATCCTGTATGAGTCTACTTTCATAACTTCATTAAATTTTATCACTAAACTTTATGTAGCCATATTGACTTCTTCTGCTACCTTCTTCCCCCATTGCCTTAGAATTACTCACAACTCTGCTTGTAGTATCTTTCTCTTCTCTCTTTTTAGGAACACTTTCCAGTCCTGAGCTCCTTTTCAATTATCATTTTCTGCCACAGAATTCTACCTAGTATTCTTTCATCTTATTTCCAAAAAGTGCAGATATTCATTTGACTGTTTTAAGCCTACGCTTTATTTTTTTCTTAAAACAAAGAATTCTAGCATTACATGGTCACTTTCCACAATATTTCTATCATGTTTATTGTGTCAACGAAGTTCTTTCCACAGGTAGTATCAAGTCAAGGCTAGCTGATTCTTGACTTGTGCCTTATCTACCCTCTGAAAGAGAAAGTTATCAACAAAAGAAACAGGAATTTCCTGAAAAGATCATGCTTGGTAGTGTTTGTCATTTAATAAATGATAGTAAAATCCCCCCATCACCTTATGTCTCTTTGAACCATCTGCAATTTGTTTCCAAAAACCATCATCCATATCCTCTCCTTATTTTGAAGTTCAATAGTACATACCAACCACAATATTGATTTTATTCATTCCTCTACTCAGTTCAACCCAAATGCTATGTTAAACCCTTGTTTTTGGAGCACATATGGGCATTGTTAATAGACAATGCAACTCTTCTCTTCCATGCTTCTGTTCCTTTTGAACATATTGCATCTTTCAGTTGCTACATTACAGTCACGGATGTCATTCCAGAAAAATGCAGCCAAACCCAGAAGGGTAAAATCTATCTTCATATTCCACTTTTCTTGTCTCTGCCAGCCTCAGTGATTGGTTCCTTCCAAGGCCAGAAAACCACAACCTGGAGATTTGGTGGCCTCTAAAGAACTTAAAGTGGTTTAAATTAATTCACTGTGAACCATAGGAGGGAAATTGTTTTTAAAAAACAATCCACGAAAAAGGAACAGAAATATATATCAAATAAATGAATAAATAAATGTGAACATTTCTCCATTCTCATTGCATTTGTTATTTTGAATCATTATTGATAGATGGAAATTAGCTATTACAATTGGGTTAGAAATATTACAAATTTGGAAGTCATCACTGCATTTCAGCACTGGCACAAACACTGAGAACATCTTGGATATAGTTGGACTGAGATAGTGATATAAATCAAGAATATTAGATAATAATATATCTGAGAGTTTATATTGTTGTTTCAGTTACAGCAATTAGTGTAACACTGTATAAATATATTTATACATTACACTTAAACACTTTAGATCATGTTCTATACCCAATTTAGTTATGTATTTTTTATATTTATATATATATATACACACACACACACATACATACACACACACACCTTTTAATAAAAAATCTGAGACATATAGATAATATATAAAATAGATAATACCTAGATACCTCAACATTTTGTATGAAACAGTTTCTTTTCTGCTCATTTTTATGTTTCCATGGGACAGAGAATGAGCTTTCATGGACACATCATTAACTATATGTGATAAAATAGACACAAATTCATGAAAGCTTATGCCAAAGTTATTGTGCCTGTCATTTAAAATCCTCCTGACTCTGATTTTATTGTAAGATTACTATATTAAAAAGTCCTAAAGTATCAGTACATACACGGTAAATTAGAGATAAATAATACTTAGGGAACCTATTAAGTGCTTCTCTGTACCTTCCAGGCTTTCAACCAGGTTTTGCTTGTTTAACAAAAATTGCATGAAAAGGTAAAGCAGTATTTGTTAATTACCCAGATAGACTATCTTCTTAAGCAAAAAGAATGTTTATCAATTCAGTTCAGCACTGATCAACTTTTGTATAAATTCAGGCAGTTAATTGTAGAGAACCATGAGGTACATCTTCCAAGTCTCCCATGTGGGAGTAATTCTTTTCCCAGCATACAGCGCTGATGGCAGAATACGTAATACCTTACATCCTTTCCAGGAAACTGCATTCAAGCTCAAAACTGACAGATTTCCATAGTAAGGGAACTCTATAATTCTAGGTTTAGATGAAATTCCCTTTTCCCACGTGTAGCATATACATGATTTTATCATCACCATGATGTTACCCTCAGAACTGCAATGGAACACTGATTACATTCATAAGCTCAAGTTGTTTGAGAACTAAGTGGGGAAAAAAATGAACTTCTTCAACTAAACTTAAATGGCTCATCCAGACATTGAATCACTACCATAATAGCATCAGAATTTAACTTAAATGAGAGTTCACTAAAAACTGGCTATAGAATTCCTTTTTCTAGAAGGACAAAATCCTGAGGATCAGCTTTTATTTTCTTCAAGTTAAGAGCCTACATTGAAACAATGGATTTTTTAGCCATATTAAACAAAGCAGATTTATTGGATTTTTAGCAACCAGCATTTCAGGCAATTTCTTCTGTTTGCACAGGTACAGCCAATTCTTGTTATTTGCGGATTTCATATTTACAAGTTCACCTACTCACTAAAATTTATCTGTAGCCACAAAATCAATACTTGCTACACTTTTGTGGTGTAATGGGCTATGAGAATAATCTTGAGGAACAGGAAGAAGAGCCGCTGCCAAGGCAACAGTCAGATAGGAGAAACCTTGCAAGATTTTATTACTATAATCCTTAATAAAAGTAGTTTCAATATACATAACGTTGATATTCGGGTCTGATCTACCTCAAATGGCTGACATCAATCTTGCAACTCTGAATGTGCCTCCTCCCTCCCTGCCTTTATCCTAAAGTGAGCTAGGGAGGGTCAAGTCTGAGACATTTTCTTAAATTCCATTCCTGCTTTGGACTCAGATTTATCTGACCATTGCCTTGGCTGCGGCTCTTCCTCCTGTTCCTCAAGGTTATTCTCATAGCCTATTACATGTGGTCATTCACAGACATGTAGAGCAGAGAAAAATTTGAGTTGCCCAACATGCACATTCCCAGCTGAGGTTTCAGTATTCGTTAAATCAGTGTTTGCAGTGACTTTATAAAACGTAATTACTGCAGATAATGAGAATCCTCTGTACTTGCAATGTTCATAATGCCACCATTCAAAACAGCATTCTGAATTTGATTGATTTAAAGTATACCTGATTGCATATAAGTCCAGCTGCTGCTGTTCTTCACTTTTTGATATCTTCAAAGCTTGCATCTGTAATAGCTTTACAACGATTTTTATCAAGCCATGGACATTCCTATCAAAAGCATGGTAAAAACACATGTTCAATCAACAGATTTCTACAGGGAGAGAAGCATTTTCATAATGTCTCTTACATCACTTTCTAGGTGAAAGAACTTCCTAGTTTGTGTCATTAATGCAAAATCAAAACATAATTGAACATACTACTTTTTCATTTGGTCTGCTCTGGTTCCAACACACTTAACAGGTTCCAATATATATGTGCCCAATTTTATAAGGTAAATCACCTTTTTAGGCACTATCAGAGGACAATCCTAAATTTGAAAGTTTGAAGATATTTGTTTGAAGATACACCAGGTCATATGTGCACTTACACACCATGGACCAATAATGATTCACATAAGGGGTCTCAGTCTTTCCACATACTTGCTGCACTCTCCCCACAACTCCTCACAACAGCCAAAGGGGTCTTGCTAGCCACTTTAATCCAGAAAAATCTTTTCTAATACTGATTTAACATAGAGGAGTTAAGTGGCACCACCCTTCCATTCCATAAGCAGGTCACAGATTAGATCCTTTATCCTTTTCCAAAATCAGTACCCCTGATCCACTAAAAATTAACAATCTTTATTATATATAGCAAAATCAGAGACCTAGAAAAAAGTGAAAAAGGAAAGGGAGAGGAATGAATAGATAGATAGATAGATAGATAGAAGATATTTTATTAAAGATTATAATTACAAAAGTAAAAGCTAATATCAACTGAAAAGAAATAGAAAAAGTAGAAGGTACAGAAAAGAAAGACTAAAAGGGAAATATATTTATTTATATTTATATATCAAATTTGTCACTGCCCATCTCGTTGAAAGCAACTCTGGGCAGTTTACAGAAGAGATAAAATCAATTAAAGTATAATATAAAATAATCTTAATAATAAATAATAGAAAAAAGAGAAAGAGAAAGAGGAAAAAAAGAAAAAATAACATAGTAGAGAAAAAGAAAAGAAATATATCAAGTCACTTCCCACCTTCATCACAATAAGTATAAACAATTTTAGTAACTTATCACCTTCTCTTAAAATACAACAAATGAGCTCTCCTTCCCATATCCCATCTCTTATCTATAAACAAATCCTTAATGCTTCGTCATTTCAGTCCTAATGTCCTGTCCATTAAGGGTTACCAGAGATAACAACATCTCTATTTTAACCTTGATCAAAAAAACCAACTTTACATTTCTTCCTTTTACTTCTAACAATCTTAATCTTTAGTCCTTTCAAATAATGGCCCAGAACTTGATTTCTACTCATTTTATTTTCCCCCTTCTCACAAAACTCTGTTGAACACTTTAATAAGCTTTTTGTAAATCCATTATAGGAAAATTATCCAGGTCACTCTCTTGGTTTGTTGTTTGTATATCCCTTTTAATTACCAAGATATTAGCCAGTTTCTTTTGTATGTCCAGTGTAACATCTTTTTCCATGTCATTCTTGGTAATGGGTAACCCACTTTCAACTCAGTCTCACTCTTATCAGGCAGAACTTGCTCCTCTTCCATAACATCTTTTAGACACAGTCTATCTATAGAGGCAGACACTTTTAAAATTAACTTCTGGGTCCATTGTTCAAAAGTATCCTTCAATAAGTCCAATGTTAAAATATTTTGCTTCATTCTGTAATTGTAAATCAAGTTTAAGTGATATTCTCCCTAATTGTAATCTTTAGTTCCCTCTAGTGTCCAATTTTTAAAATTCTATACTATTATGTTTCAAAACAAAAGCATTTTCCCACAGGAAGGATTCTTTATAGTTAATTCATTCCCTCTGTCCTCTACACTTTGCCTCACTCTTATGCTAACCTGAAGCCAGTCTGTTTTGTCATGTTCTGTTCATACTGTGGCTTCCTGACCTGCATATAGGTTTTGCATGAAGATAATGAGATGTCCTGGGATTCCTTTTTTTTTTTTTTTAATTTACATTCCACAGCTTCCCATGGTTTTTGGAAGCTACTGAGTTACTATATGGCCATTACATTCTATACAGATCAACCACAGCAAGAATTTATGAGTTTGTCATCTAGTTATATAAACCCATTTCTTCAGAAGCTTGGATTACCAGGTTATATTTTTAAGTCTTACTCTGATGTACTGTATTTTGGCAGTACACAGCTAGCGTTTAACAGAGGTTTTTTGATAGCATTTAAAAAAGAGATTACTGTCTCACTGTGCTGGGTTTGAGGGGGAGAGGGATGTATTGCTTTTACTAGTTGAAGCAAGGCCTGAAAAAATCAGTTCAAAATGTAATTGTGTGAAAGCAAGAACAGGCAAAAATGTGTTTTGGTGGTAGAAATCATGGAATCTCTGACTCTGGGGTCAATGACCTTATAATACAGTACAGGTGGAAAACCAAATTACTGGCCTTGAGCAATAAAACAACCTCTATGCAAAGAGCAGAAACCTGTAGGTAATTAAGCTTGAGCGTCATTGCAATTGTTCTTTTCATCGTTTACCTATTTATTTTTTGCTACACTACTCTGCTCCATCATATATCTAACTCCAATTTAAGAATACAAGAGAAAAGGCAGAACATCAAAGAACATGTTTAGTTTTGGCAAATTTCCACAAAAGTCCTGTTTGGGTTTGGGCTGAGCAAATACATCACAAGCACTGAATGTGCTAAATCCATAGTCAATTCAATAAGATTGCTTAGATCTCAAAAGAAAAAGAAAATGGCAAAAAAACAAAAAAAGGGTCTGGTAATATTTCTGTTCACAACAGCAAAATGTTTAAGTGAAGCTGAGAACGCTTTTGAGCATTATGAGCTGCTCAGGAAACTGTTACATGCCTGTCAAGTTCCTTGGAGGAAAAGCATTGTAAGGATGCCTCAGTTATTTTACCCAGGCCCAAGACCTACAGAGGGAATCATTGAAAGGCAAGAAAATGGAGAGACTGTGTAGTCCAGAGGTTAGGGAACAGACCTCAACTCTGAAGCCCCATCACTACTGAGCATTTGCACACTTAGAAATGAGGGACGTTAGAACAGAAGCGAACGTTGGTGTCAGCCCTGTGAGGTAGGTCAGGTCAAGCAGCAGACATAGCAGGGATTCCCAGAATGCTCTTTGTTGTAATAAGGTAGAATAACAGAAACTTGAAAACCTGTCCAAGTTTCCCTCTGTTGCATCTAATATGATGCAAAACCAAGGTAGGGTTACTTTGCATTATTCTCATGCTTTCCTCTATCTCAGGACTATATAATCTTTTCTCCCTTAATGGCTCATTCTTTCCTTCCTCCATTAATGGCTCTCTCATGTCTTCCCCAGGGTCAACCCCACATTCTTCTACAAGATGGCACCACCGCCATAGTATTCCCACTCACTCTGAACTACAAAGTAAAAACAGTTGATTTTCAATTAAAATAAATGACCATCACCTGGCTGAAGGAATGAGGCTGAGTGCTGTGTTAAGAATATAGGCAAACTCTGCATGATTTTGTTTAACAAGCATCACCAGGGCTTCACAACAGGCTGTCCGGACAACCATATTGTCACTGCAGGATTTTTCCCAGAGCAAGTTTAACGCCGGGGTCTGGAATCAAAGAGAGGGGAGAAATAAGCTCAGTTAATCAGGACTGATGACTCATAAATTCAATTATTGTTCTCACAGCTATTCTCCTTCAATTGGTGTCTAACCAAAAACAGAGAAAGAATATTTAGCTCTTTCTTCACTTGCCACTTGCTGAATTAATTTACCTCAGATGGCTTCCTGAACTCATGACTAAGTAAAATTTATCAATTTGATGCAGGAAACTGTTGAGATGGAAGAGTCCTGCTTTTGCTAGTTGTATAAGACATTGGAGCATGGCTGAATATCAAAAATCTCTCCAAGGACAGTATGGGAAGTAAATAATATACAGTGGGGCAAAAAAGTATTTAGTCAGCCACCAATTGTGCAAGTTCTCCCACTTAAAAAGATGGCCCCAGATCGAGGGAGATTATCAGTGGCCTTGTATGTCTTCCATTTTCTAATTATTGCTCCCACAGTTACTTTGTTATATATCCTTTGTTGGCAATGACAGAGGTCAAACGTTTTCTGTAAGTCTTCACAAGGTTTTCACACACTGTTGCTGGTATTTTGGCCCATTCCTCCATGCAGATCTCCTCTAGAGCAGTACTTTGTTATATATCCTTTGTTGGCAATGACAGAGGTCAAACGTTTTCTGTAAGTCTTCACAAGGTTTTCACACACTGTTGCTGGTATTTTGGCCCATTCCTCCATGCAGATCTCCTCTAGAGCAGTACTTTGTTATATATCCTTTGTTGGCAATGACAGAGGTCAAACGTTTTCTGTAAGTCTTCACAAGGTTTTCACACACTGTTGCTGGTATTTTGGCCCATTCCTCCATGCAGATCTCCTCTAGAGCAGTACTTTGTTATATATCCTTTGTTGGCAATGACAGAGGTCAAACGTTTTCTGTAAGTCTTCACAAGGTTTTCACACACTGTTGCTGGTATTTTGGCCCATTCCTCCATGCAGATCTCCTCTAGAGCAGTACTTTGTTATATATCCTTTGTTGGCAATGACAGAGGTCAAACGTTTTCTGTAAGTCTTCACAAGGTTTTCACACACTGTTGCTGGTATTTTGGCCCATTCCTCCATGCAGATCTCCTCTAGAGCAGTACTTTGTTATATATCCTTTGTTGGCAATGACAGAGGTCAAACGTTTTCTGTAAGTCTTCACAAGGTTTTCACACACTGTTGCTGGTATTTTGGCCCATTCCTCCATGCAGATCTCCTCTAGAGCAGTACTTTGTTATATATCCTTTGTTGGCAATGACAGAGGTCAAACGTTTTCTGTAAGTCTTCACAAGGTTTTCACACACTGTTGCTGGTATTTTGGCCCATTCCTCCATGCAGATCTCCTCTAGAGCAGATCTTTTTAAGTGGGAGAACTTGCACAATTGGTGGCTGACTAAATACTTTTTTGCCCCACTGTATAAGAGGAACAGGGCATTTTCAGGACTGACCTCATAATTATGAAAGTATCTCACAAAGATAACATGGTTTTGTTCCTGTTTCTTTGCATTTAGAAGATTATATAAGTTTCTGGAAGCAGAAGAATCTTTTGAGGAAGGGTTGTTTTATAATTTTACAGTTTGCTTTGAGTTTACTAGGATTGATATTTAATTTTGATTTAATCAAAATCTGTAACTTAATTCTGAGGTGGCTGATAGTTCTCCTATTGTAATTTTACTATTTGACTGTTTTGTTTTGTTTTTTGTAATAGCTAAAAAATGCTTAACTGCACCTAGGCATTTAAATCAGTCAATGGGTTGCAAGCATGTCTGGTTATGGACTGAAGTTCCTAAGGGAAACCAAGTCCATTTTAATTTTTACACACCTCATGTAGAATGGGCCATAATTTAAAAAGTCTATTTCATGATATGAAACTGCTCACCATGACAAATATTCTGTGAGAGGACAAAATTTCTACCCTTCTTAATAAAAGAAAGCATGTTTCCATTTAATGCTCAGAAATGGTATCTAGTAGACAGAGATTTTTGTCCATTCCATGATTCAACAATCTCAAGTCAACAAAATTGAGAGTTTTGCATATCTTGTCCAATACCATTTAAGCTAAATATCTAAACAACTTTAAGAAGGTAGAGGATTTTATCACAGAAATTGCTTTAGTATTTTTAAAACTGCAGACACCTACAGAACTCTCCTGCCTTCCTTTCCTATTTAGAAATGGCTGAAAGCACAAACACAAAAATGTACAAACAAAGGATGACTACCACGACTCTTCCACCTTAATTCTCCAAACTAGTTTATGGAATGATAACAATACATTTGTCATCCATTATTCATTCTTTAAAAATATTCTGTATATATTTTCAGACTTTTGAGAATGATATACAGAATTTGCTACACTTTTACATGTCGGTAGTCATTTTTCAAAAATCTGCTTATGTAGTACAATGCCCACCAAAACATACATACACAATTAACAGAAGAAAAAGTCCATGATAAGCTCATTATTTCACTTTCAGCTGCGCACTTATGTTTTAATCAACATTATAAACTTCATGAAAGCAATGCTGGGAGAACAAAAAAGGAGATGTAAAGAGGCATAGTGGTTAAAGGGTTACACTGGCGCTAGGAAGACTCAGATCCTAGTCCACTGTCAGCTATGGACGTTCAGGGGATAACTTTAGGTCAGTCATGCTCTCTTAGTTCTAGCTATCTCACAGGGTTGTCGAGGAGAGAAACAGGAAGGAGTGCTATGTACATTGCCTTGGGCTCCTGAATGAAAGCCGGATATAAATGTAATCAAGCAATAAGTAAATAAAGTTATGACAAAGTCTTAGCTCCATCAATTCTGAATTTAAGTTCAGAAATGTAAGTTTTATTCCAATTTAATCTAATGAACTATTACCCAAAGTACAGGTAGTCCCCAGGTTAAGAACGCCCGGGTTACAGATGACCCACAGTTAAGAATGGAGCCTTTGAGTTGAATACACAATGATTCAAGCTTGCTACACAATACTACAGTATTTTACAGTATTATAGAATAATATTGTTCCAGCTTACATACAAATTCAACTTAAAGACAGACCTTGAGAACAGAACTTGTTCTTAAACAAGGAACTACCTGTAAACCTTGGGAAAAAAATAACAGAATAGGAAAATCTGTATCAGGAACAGGCAATCTGTGGCCAGACTTTGCAAATCTTTTACAAATCTTTTTCCATCATATCACAGACTTTTACAAATCTCAGCATCTCTCAGCCAATTGTGGAAGATAAAACAGATTGCTGTCTATGCCTATTAGTTATTTATTTACTTACTCTTTTCCTTTTCTTTTGCTTTGTTTCATTTGCTGGCTAAGGCTGCAATAAAATTGAATTGATTGAACGGATGCTGAAAGTTCTAGTTAGCAGTACAGGTAGTCCTTGGTTAATGAGAGTAATTGGGACCAGAATTTCCATCACCAAGTGATGCATAGAGCATAAGGTCACATGAATGCATCGCTCAGCAATGGCAATCCTGGCAATCACCATTGGCATCATTAGGTGAGAATTGTCGGTCATTAAGCGAGGACCTCCTTGCAACTTCCTGCCAGCTTCCAACAAGCAAATTCAATGGGGAAGATGGCAGGAAATCACGAGTCCCAGGCAACTCACAAGCAGGCCAACGGGCAGGTAAGTAGCTGCCAAGGCCTGGTGCGAGTGCACCCAGCCAAGGGATAGCTGCCGCTGGGGGCAAGAGGATACACAAGCCGCCCTGCACTCCGCCACCCCAGCTCACCTTTGCTGTCCTTTTCCTCCTGCTGCTGATGGGACACGCCCAGTCTTTCCCCTCATGAAGCAACTGCCACCCCCTGAAGTTGCACACAGCCTTCCTGATGCCTCGTCCTCCAGTAGCAGGAGGAAGAAGACAGCGAAGGTGAGTGGGGAGTGGCAGGGGCAGTGGAGCACAGGGCAGCTTGCATGCCCTCCTGCCCCCAGCAGCTGCCACCCCCGGTCCAACTGTGCTTGTGCTGGTCAGCAGCAGCCACTTGTGCACCCTCCCACCCCCGGCAGCAGACATCCCCAGCCCAGCTGCACTCGCAAAGGGCCAGGCCAGGTGCACCTCATCAGCAGTGGGAGGAAGAAGACAGCGAAGGTCAGCTGGGGGTGGCGGGGCAGCGGAGTGCGGGGCGGCCAAAAGGGCAGAGATGGGGGGAAGGGATAGGTGGGTTGGGGGAAGTTGAAGTGCACCCCGTGGTTGAAAATGTGGGTGGGTTGCCAAGCACCTGAATTTTGATTACATGACCGCAGGGGCATTGCAACAGCCATAACTTCAAGAACCAGGCAAAAGTACCATTCGTTCAGCACTGTCATAACTTTGAATAGTCGCTGAACAAATGGTTGTTAAACGAGGACTACCTGTAGGTTCCCTTAATCCTTGATAAGGGTTATAACAAAGAGCTGAAATTCCATCATAATTGTAAAAAACAGCTTGCACGTTTATCAGTAAGAGAAATACCAGTAGCCCAGAAAGCAGTTCAAAGTCTTCCTTGGCTCACAAAATCTTACTGCATTCATGGTGTGCATGGATCTACCCACTCCAGACAATGTATCATTATCATTAGACAGTTTGATATTTCATACACCATTTCAATGTGTTTTTTTTCTTGGTGAAGTATTATCCTCTAGTTATGAAAATTTAAAGTTACCAGAATTGATTTTCAATCATGTTGCACCACAAAAGCAGTTGTCAGGGCAATGGGGGAAAGAAAAATGAAAGCAAAGACACAAACCTGGTTACTGGACTGGCTGATCTTGTTAGATAAAACATTTTCTTTTAGCACTGCAGCAGTAAGATGGCCCACAGCCTGTGAATAAACATAAATCACTAAACTATTATCTTTATTGCAGCTAGCAGCAACCACATCCTACCACCCCAACTACTATACTAGGTAATCAACAAAATGAAGGCCAAGGTTATATTGGGGGAAAAATAATTGGTCATCCACAATTCAGTAGTGGCAACCTGACATTCTCTTTACCTTGGCAAAGAATCCTAAGATGTAATGTCTCAGTGCTCCTAAAAATATGGCCACCCACAACCATTTAGATTATCAGTGCAGATGGACCAGAACTTACTGCCTGAATGGGCATAGCAAAAACAGTATTAGCAGATGGGCCTTTGCTTGGGAGTTAGGTATATGTAGAAGGTCCTCAACCTCATTTAGAAAGAGATTTTGTAACTGTTCCTGGTAATAGAAAAAAAGTTCTGCCTATGAGATTCTGTGACCTGTCATTATTACAGAGTAAATGGACAAATAGCCAGATGACTTATATACTTCCTTAAGCAAAGAATTTAGTGAATCTACTAGGAAAACAGGATTCCTTACAAGAAAGCACTTCAGAGGCACTTATAAACATTTTATCTTTTTTCTTTGCACCTAATAGGAAGGAATGATTGAGTTTTTCACCTTCTAAATTTGAAGAATTTCTTATTTTCTTATTTAGCAAAATGTCAATCATTATGTCAGACAGGTAGTATGTGGAGATATGATAGATATATGAAGACATAACACACTGCTTGCAATATACATATATGTGTCATGTGCCTACTAGAAACACATTTATGCAGGCAACTTCCTTGAGTAGATGTGGGCCTCCTGTGGCCCTCCAGACAGTTCTTTAATCCCAAGAGAGTAAACTAATGAAGCCAGTGGTGCAAAGCTGTAGTACAGCACCAATTCAAAGATCACAAGACGCCCAATTTGACCCAATGGATTCAGGCAGGGACCTATTTTTTTAAAAAGTCCAGGTGAAAAAGTACTTGCAAGAACAGTACTAATACTTGAAAAATGAACAGTTCTACAGTTAACATATTTACTTTAGCATATAAAATGACTCCACAAAATTTCCATAGGAATATGTTTTGATAAATGATGAACTCATGATCAATAAGCCAGCAGAAGGAATAACATGGCCTGACATCAACCTGTATCTCCTCTTAAGAATGCTTCTTCATTGACATAATGGCTGGTCTCACATATCAAACTAATTAAAACAAACCACACAACAGCATAACTATTGTTCTCTCAGTGTGGAAACCAAGCAAACAGCTTAAAGGAACCTGATATAGTGCCATCTCTTGGCCAAGAGATCACATGTTCTTGGTTAGGAGCTTACCTGGCAATTCACTATTATTGTGCTTCAGCTGCCAGATGACCATTATGAAAACTAGAATGATGCAACAGAAAGACTACAAGTCTGATCCAACAGAATCTATTTCATACTTCTGTGTGGAAGAATTAGCAAAGTACAGCACCATATACTCTAGAGAGTCTTCTGCAAGTCAAACTCAACTCCTGGTGACTTCTAGGAGAGTTCCATGAAATTTTCTTGGTAACAATATGGAAGCAGTTTCCCACTATCACCTACTGGGATTTTTTTTAACTTCCCAGTCTATCTGATAGTCCTGGTATTTTTGGTGGTCTCCCATTCAAATACAAATCTGTTCTGCCCTGCTTAATGTTTTTAAAACCAGCCAACATTGGCTGGATGCAGCCATCTAGTAAAATGTAGTCTTAAATTAGGAATTTGAAAATAAGTGTTTTTTTCTCTTTTATAATTCAAAAGAGACACACAATAAATGCAGCTTTTTATTTATACCAGTATAACCTAAAATAGCATGGATAACTGTAATCAAATTCAATAGCTCAGAAAGGGACATTATGGTACTTTAGCAATATTCCAGGGTATCAAATACTTCCTTGAAAGTGGATGGTAAGGAGCAACAAAACTGGGTGTCATCATCCTGAAGACACCCCACTCAAAACTCTGGATGATCTCCCCCAGGGGTTTCATGTAAATAATTCATTTTTCAACAGATACAAGTGTGTGTGTGTGCATGTATTTATATATTCATGCACAGACACCACAGACACCACATACCAGATAGAAGCTTTCTTACCTGTGACTGTATAAGTGTGTTAGGAAAATCAAGCCTTTTTCTAATTTCTTCAGACATTGTTGTTTGATTAATCTACAAACCATTAAGCTTCTGAAAAAACAATAAAAATAGATATAAAGTGTCAACATCACCACGGATTGGGTTTCACACTTTGCTGAATAAGCCATAGTGGCTACACCATAAATCATGGTGAACAAATGAAAATTTTGGGTTTATACATTTGCACTAAGCCTAAATCAAACTAACAGCTATTTAATTGAAGGTCCACAAAGGTCTAAACAATAACCTTCTTAAATTGAGAGCACTCACAGTTAAGCACACTTAGAGGTCTGAAACAGATATAAATGGCTATATTATTGTGAAAGGAGCCAGTTTCTTTTATATGTTATATGTTATAGCTATGTGCTGTGATTTCCCAGTTGTAGCATTCTTGCATATCCTTTCAATATTCCTGACATAAGCCAAAGAATGGTTAGTATTATTTTGGAATATGCAGCTTGAGTTATTATGTCTCTCAGAAGCTCTCAACAATTTTGTCAACCTTCTTGAATGCTTGAGTGTACTTGGCCTGCAATATTTAAAGAGAGCTGCTCCATTTTAGTCTATGGCACCCTTTATTTTCCTGGCACCCTCCTAATGTATTGGATTCCCATTCTCAAAATTCCTAGGATGCTGCTGAGTAGATGACATTCACATCATGGTGCAAAACATCTGGGGGCACCAGTTTGAGGAAGAGTGCTATAAATGTATTGCAGAAACGAAAGACATGTTTCCAGTACTGGCCATATGTTGCTGTGAACATAGCACATACACTGAAGCTCAAAAGGACCAGAAGGGAGATGCCACACCATTTGTCTGACCATCGTATATGAACATAACCAATGACCTTATGGCTTGTTAAATAAACCATAGCTTTAAAAGCTCTTGCTTAATATTGAGTATGAACCATTCTCTGAACCACTTGGAGGGAGCACTCATATGTACAGCTGTATATGGAGAGCTGCTGGCAGATCTTTTTTTAAGCAGTCTTGGAAGCATAGTCTGGCTGCCCCAACAATGATCTTCTACACTGCTGCCAAACATCTAAATGTTCATTTTGTTGGAAACAAACAACTGAGAACAGTAATTGTTTTTGCTAAAAAGTATAATAAGAAGAATGTAGTAAGATTTTTCAACTTAAAGAATTGCTAATTTGTTTATTTATTATTTTATATTTAAACCTTTATCTAGGTGATCAAGAAGGGATCACACAGGAGCCATTCCTCATTTTACCCTGACAACTATTTTGGGATACAGCTGCTCAGAGACAACTACTGAACCCACTTAGCAATCACAATGGTTACACATGGACTTGAAACTATATTTCCCACCCTCGGCCCAACCCCTTAACCATACAATACAGTATACTACAAAAAAGCCTTAAGAGCAGCTGGACATGGGCCAGCAGACAGTTAGCTGCTTACTGAAATGCCTTATTAACAAGCTGCTTTCTGGAAAAAAAAAACAATCTGTACTGATTTTTTACCAGCTGAATAAGGTATTAACTACCTTATTTGTTTACAGTTACTCTGCTGGCAAGAACGATGAGTAAATTGTCAAATTTCTGAATCCTTCTCTTAATCTACTCAGATTTTTTTGCCTGAACTGCTTGGGTTATTGTATTCCACATAATGTTATATCAACTCTTGTTTTGTTTTGTTTTTTTAACTTTCTGGTAATATTGCTCTATTTTTCAATTATGCCACATACCAGCAAACATATAGTATCTTCATGCTGAGAGTTGTCAACCCTATTGCTCCAGTAACACTAGCAAAGGCATTACATTTTTCCAGTATGAAAAACCAGATGAGCAGAGGTGAGTATTCTGCCATGCAATTATTTGTTCAAAATGTTATTTGACATGTATATGAAACGTTCACAGACTCACGAATGAGGGATTTAATCACTTAAAAGCATTTGCACCAGCTGAACTCTACCCATGAGTCAAAGATAGTGAGATTCCACATGTATTAACTGAAGAATACAGCAGTTTACTGCACAATCAGGAGCACTGCTTCATCTTGGCGCAGCAAGTTTGGAACTAAGGGACCAGGTGCATTCAATGGCACTGAGGATGGGGCCAACATCCACTGGTCTGCTCCTCTTATACCTGCTTAACCACCACCTTTTGGCTTCTCTACTAAGTGTACAGCCTGTCCACAAGAGTACTTGGTGCCAAGTTAGCAGGGACTGCCTCTAACACTCTAGAACCAAGCTGAAGCAACACTGGCTTGATATCAAGCTTTGACCTAATACTGTGAACTTCTTCCTACCTTTTTTTAATAAATAGACCAAAGCTCTGTTCTTGCAGCTGTTTAGGTTTGTTATATAATTCATGTTATTCATGTCATAGTGGTTTTAAATTAATTTCAAATTTTATATAAACCACTTTAATTAAGCATTTAAAAAAGCAACACGAAGGGAGTTACAGAGGACTTTGAAAGTCATGTAGTCCAACCTTCTGTTCAATACAAGGAATCTGTAGCTGGAATTTCCCCAGTAGTGAACTGCTAAACCATCACTAATCTCAGCAGAGGGTTATACTGGATCAAACCATAGGCCTCTACTGCAGCTTTTTTAGAAATGGTGGGCTGCAACACCATCATCACCAGACAGCCAAGCCATTCTACATGGAAATTATAAAGATTAGACTCCAACTCATGAAGGACTTCAGCTTGGGGAAGCTTGCCTTAGAATAAGCTACAGTGCCCGAGTTAGGAAATCAGACCTGCATGTTTCCTTCTTAAAACGTGGGATGCATCAACTTAATCCAGAAGACTATCTATGAAAGACATAAAAAAGTTTAAATTACTTTCCTATTGCACGATTCAATAGCCCTGCGCACCCACTAACTCTGCAGAGGCCGTTCTACTGTTTCCATTATTGGAAGACTACGATTGCCAACGTTCGAAGCAAGCGATCCAAACCGAAAGGAACCTCTTAAAGCCGAAACAGGCGCTCACCTGACTTCACTCGAGATTCCTCTGTCAAATCCCGCAGCAACGTCCCACGGCGACGTGTTATACAGCGCAGACTCAGTAGCGATTGCTCGCTCTGTCACAAAAGGGCAAGTTGGCTACGTTGTTGCTTCTGAGCATGCCCGGAAAGAGGAGCTGACGTATTACGAGTACTGTAAGAAGATTGGTTTCATGTAGTTGCGCCAAGGGTACTGAAGTGTTGGTGACTATCAAATATCTGTAGTCTGTTTTTAAATCTAATATTACTGATTTTTCACTTTTTTTTGTTGCTGCTTATTAAACCCATACCTACAAAATAACATAAGCACAATAAATATTAACCCACCCTCCAAACCACACTAATTTTATTTAAAACATGTTGAATACTGGGATTGTAATTAGTGTTTAAAATGTCATTTATTCTGTTTTATTAAAACAATTATTTATCCTTGATATCAGAGATATCAGAAATACAATTAAAATAAAGCACTATACAAATGCAGTTTTAAAAATCCCAATAAAATAAAAATAGCCTCAAATTGCAATCCCATCACAAAGAAAAGATACTGAACTAGCACTGAAACACATAACAAAGCAAACAATATTACTAAGTCAAATACCTGGATAAACAAAAAGATTTTCTGTGATGCCAAAGTTGGGAAAAATATTCATAATAAGTTAACAACAAAATCTTTCTCCCTTGGTGATGCTTCAATCTGTTCACACTTTGTGCTAAACCATAATTCATTTATCCGTGATTTATTAAACTACAAATAAAGTCCCAATTGCCTGGGATTGCACAACACAAAACATGATTTACAAACTGCAGTGGCTAGGTTTTTATACAACATGGTAACCATGTTATGTGAAAACCACATTACATGGCTTAGAACAATGTGTGAATAGAGACTCTGTGAGTTACATTCAGCATTTACTCTCAGATAGCTGGGGGTAAATTGGATTGTAGACTTAAAAACATAGTTCTATGAAATTAGAAGCCAAATGTTCTATTCAGTCCTCATTCCAGATCTGTAGATGAACAGAGGACATAATAGAGTCCATTCCTTTTAGAGAAACATTCCTAACTGTGCATATAATACTAAATCTGAAATACTTTATTGCAGTCATTAACCAGCTCAAAGGAAATTGATATGCAAATATCCAAACCTGAATCAACAATATCAGAATAGTCAGGAGAAATATGCACAAAGAATTTTAATTAAAAACAGAGAACACTCAGATACTTGTTCTGGCTACAGATGTGTAATAGTATGTGGGAATGATCTCGGTAGGCAGGAGGAAGAGCAGAAACTTCAACAACTATCTGATAAATGAAATTTGAGTCCAAAGGAGGGGTGGTGGTGAAAGTGTCTCAGAAAGGACCTTCCCTAGTTTTCAAGAAAGTAGAAGTGAAGGAAGGGAAGGGTACTTTCACACTTGCAAGACTCTGTTAATGCAACCTTACAATAAAGACAGAGCTAGTAATCATAGTTGTGCTTCTTGTCTGGACTACCTCAAAGGGCTAATAAGATATGTGACAAGATTAGGGATTAAAATTAGCAATTGTGCTAGTAGCAAAAACTTTAAAATGGTAGCATAAAATCCAAGTAAATATAATTCAGTAAGGCAATAAAATTATCAGAAGAGATTTGGGGATTAGAAACTTCACTTACAGTCCCCTGTCAAACCTGAGAAGAATATAACTGACATGGCACCTTCAAAGAGTTAATAAGTAACCAAGAGTTAATGCTGAGACTGGGCCACTTCTGTCTAAATTATGGCTTAATATAAATATATTAAATTAAAGAAGGCACCCTCAGGGTGGAACCAGCCCTTCCCTTCAGGCACTTTGGTTCAGAGGTAATTCGCACCTGGGGATGAACAGCAAATGCAAAGTAGGTCCCCTTGCTGCTGCCACCACCCCTTCATTACTACCAGTTTCTCACTTCCCCAGCAGTCTCAGAAGGGACCCTCCCTAGTTCTCTGGAAAGTAAAGGCAGGGGAGGGGGAAAGCGCTTTCAAACTTGCAAGATTCTGTTACTGTAACCTTACAATAAAGGCAGTGTTAGTAGTACTCAAGGTTTTGGTTTCGTGTCTGGACTACCTCGAAGGGCTGGCAGTAGCTCAGCCAACTTGAGGTGGGTGCTAGAAGGCCACCGATTTAAATAAAAATCAACTTTATTAAAGGTGCCCAAAGAAGATAAAGTTCCACACAAACAACACTTAGTTAAAAAGAGATAAAATCCAAAAAACCCTAATAAAATTCTAACTATAATCAAAGAACTCAATTTCCAACCTTGGCTGAGGTCACCCCCCATCCAGTCAACTTTCTCAAAAGATCCAAAACTTTTCCCACCCAAAACCTGACAGAACCCCCTTCTTTTCCTTCACTGGCTCTCAGGGGTCATGTGACTCCCTCTGGGCCCATAAGGCTGGTTTCTTGTTTAAAAGGATGGCTGTGCCCCCCCCCACACACACACACTTATGCTGACAGACTTTTTTTTGTGGAACAAACCGTTGTGGTCTGCTAAGCCATCAGGGGTGAAATCATGCAAAGCCAGAAGCTAAGAAATTATAATGCTTAGTGGGTTATACATGGACTAGCCTATTGTGTTTAAATTTGAGAAAGAATATTGTGAGTTTTTTTCTA